TGAGGTTGGCCCAGGACCAGGCAGTGTTTCGTTCTGTTGTACATAGGGTCGCTATGAGTCGGTACTGACTCGAAGGTACCTAACAAAAACAAAGTATATATCAAATCTTTTTGCCTGTTCATTTGTGAAATATAAGATGTAAATGAGGAGCCATAGGGAGGAAGTACGATAAATTTGTTGCAGGGAGGAGATTGTAATCTTTGAAATGAAACAAGGTGTATAGTTGGCTGAATGTTGAACTGATAATTTTGTCTGTAAACCTTCACACAAATCACAATAAAAAGTTTTTAAAAAGGATAAGTACACTGTGAGACATAATAAATAAAGAATGTGGAGCAATTATCTGTGACCATAGACTGACAGAGAAGGAAGGACCAAGATATACATACTATACATGATGCATTATAAACACAAAAGACACTAAATATTCATAATACACTAACTATGCACAAGACTTACGTGGCCCTCAATATTTGTGAGCTCTTAATTCAGTTGTCCATTGGTGACATTTTTTCTGAATTGTCCTCTGGCCAAGAAACATGAATAAAACTCATGGCTCCTCAGCAAGCCAACTGGCAAGCTATAACTGTGGCTGAGCCCCTCCATACAGCAAATGTGTATTTTGGCCCCTGATATGTTCCATGTGACTGGGTTCCCTGGTGCAAGCTCCAACTTAAGACACAGTGACAGTTAGATTTAAGAATATTTTATAACTCAAGATTCAGGTAGTGTGGTCTTTCTACCCACTGGCACGCTATGCCAATAGTGTTAATATACCTTATCACTTTCTCCTTTCTTTTCACTGTGTTTTAAATTGATTCAATAAACCATGTGACTTAAGGATTCTAATTTGGCTTATGAGCCTTTCTGTTCGAAGGCCTCTGAGGGAACTTGCTTGGTAGGGTATTTGGAGGTTACCACTGTGCCAAGGTAATTTCCTATATGACACACCAGCACAGAAATTTCTCACACTTCTGGTCTGTTCATTTTGTTTACAGATTTGAGTTAGCTATCTTTTCCAAGCTCACGTGGACTCTAAACCTCTTTTTATAGATCACTAGTCCCAATCTATATCAGGCTAACTTGTCTGTAAAAGAAAACAAACAAATACACATCAAAATCAGGCAGTGAATTAATCTAAGTATTGTAGCTACAATAACAATCCTGCATACTTTTTTTTTATTCAGTATCTCATTCAACTCCAGCCAAACCTCAGCAATCTCAATGAAACTGTCAAATTCTGGTCTTTAATCACAAAATGAGAGAACACAAGTACATGAGAATTAAATAAAGGGCAATATCAGCAATGTAAAATAGGTAAGAAATTGTTGTTGTTGTTGTGAAATGCCGTCGAGTCAGTTCCAACCCATAGCAACCCTGTATAGGGTGTCCGAGGAGAAGCTGGTGAGCCTGAACCACCAACCTTGCAGTTCAAATGGGCTTGCAGTCTGGTGCATCAACCCACAGCGCCACAATTATCTACTATTAATTACAATTTTTTCTCTCTAATGATAATGAATTTAAACACACACACATCAAAGAAGAAAAGTTCCCTACAGCACATAGTTGCTTAAATGAAGGGGTCAACATAGTGGTATTATTTCAACTGTAACTATACTCAAAATGAATATTTTGAATTGAAATTTATGTCACTATAAATAAAGAAAAGTTTTTTGCATAATAAGAAGACTAAATACCATCTTCTGGAAGAGACTAAAGGGTAGATTTTAATAATTTATAGAATAAAATTGCTAGCAGCTATTAAAACTGTAACAAGCTATCTTAACATGCCTTCTCCCTTCTGAGAATAAATTCTAGAAGCATTAACACTTAAAGTAAACAGAGCTAGAAATAGGGCTCATTTCAGTACTAAAAGTGTCAACCTTCCTATAATACAGGGCATATCACTCTCGAAATCCAACTGTAACCCATTCCCGTTTTAATTCCCTTATCCCTCCCCAAAGGTATTTTTTTTCTTCTTTTATTATGAATTAGTAACTGTGACACTATGAAAAATACATGTTTGGAATCTTTCCATAGTATAATATAGCCAACCATAAGATAGATTAGATATAAAAATAAGATCAATTATCATAAATTACATATTAAGACCAACCTCATTATTTCATACCTATACTTTAGTATAAACATTTATATGATCATATTATTAACATATAATTTTGTATAAAAAGAAAACCATGAAATGAGATGATTTTCATATGTTTAGAGTAACTGACCAGTACTACCTATGTTTATATGCTACATATATTTCACAATTAAATACAACTTATCCAACTGAACTATGGCACAGGGGACAGAAGTTGTAGTTTCTTATTTCCTGAGCCAGAACACAGTGCTTACACACACTGCACATCCAGAACTGATATTCAGTGATCGGGCTTCCAGTGGCAACACATGTTGGCAGTTTTCCTTCCCCACTGTAAAAATAAAAGTAAAAACAATGAAACATACCTCAAAACATAAAATTAGATGAATTTAATTTAGCTATTACTCTAAAATGGAAAATAGAGAAAAGCTCATGATCTACTTCAAATACAATATTCTAACAATGAGTAAATAAGCACTATTACATTTGTAAGGCTAAATAAAATAGGGTAACTTCCAAAATTTAGTGATTATCATGCTATTATATTCATACATGCATACATACATATATAGGACATTAGAAGTGCAAGCATTTAATAAACTAGAAAGGCATTTACTAATTACAATGAGCCTACCCTTCAAGAAGGCTGTCCATTTCAGACTTTCTGTTGTCTTTTGGAGTATGTTTGGTGAAGATTTCTAGAGCAAGATCTTCATATTGCTGTTTCTGTTCTGGACTGAGTGTTTCTAAAGATTCCAGTTTAATAAAAGCTTTTGAACAGGTACCAAAAGCTCTACTAGCACAGGCACAGACTGCTAACAGAGAGTAAATCTCCACAGCGGGGATCATATCTTCATAGTCTCGCAGGTGAAGAGCTGGCAAACATAGGACAATGGGGATTTTTTAAACTAATCATAATTTCATGAACATTCATGGACAAGAATTCATGTTCAGATGTTTTAGTTTAACTTACATGAACATTAACAAACTTATAAAACAAGATGACAGATGGAGAACCAGTAGAAGGAAGGTGGTTACATACTCTCCAAGGTTCCTTTAAGCCAGATTACAGCTCAGATCTCATGAAAATAACCACCACCAAACAATTCACACGACTGTGCCACTTAGAAATACACATTTTTCCTCTGAATAATTTAGAAAGTTCTGTGGCACCCCAGAAAAAATTAATTAACATTGTACTATGTTAGTCATCGAGTTCTGGTGCAGTGCTACAGTTAGATGCGCTGGACTGCAAGGTCATTTGAACTGCAAGATTGGTGGTTCAAGCTCACCAGCCACTCCTCGGAAACCCTATACAGGGTCGCTATGGGTCAGAACCGACTTGACAGCATTTAACAACAACAATGTTAGTCATAATTCTCATTATGTTTCTTTTTGCTAGTAAAAGGCAAAGAGGTATGAAATCATGTTTTTTATTTTTGTTTCTTTGAACAGACTATTGCTTTTTAATTTGTTTTAAGGAAACAATAGGGACTTTGGGAACAGACATGAAAATGAGCCTCTGAGCTGTTTTCAGACTACTTATTTTAACAACTATAGTATCTTATTTTTAAATTTTCTATACTGAATCAATAATCTCTTTTAAAAAAAAGTATTAGAGTTATTACCAAATTTGCAACCAGTTATAACTTTATCTTCTCTAGACTTTGCAATACCTTACTCTATTTAACTAGTCGAAACTTCATAAGACAGTGAAGGTTAAAATAGCACACTCAGGTGTCTCATGATTGTTGCTGTTGTGAGCCATTGAATCAGTTCCGACTCAGGATTCTGTGTACTGTTTATGAGAGCAGCTGGTGTGTTTGAACTGCCTACTGTGAGGTTACCAATACAGTGCCAAACATCAGATTCCTATAAATTGGCTTCGGGGTCAGGTGTTTCAAATAAAGCTTAGTGAAAGAACTTTATAGAAATATCTTCATTTCATTATAATAAAGAATATTCTTTAATTTCATATCTGGACCTAAAAAGTTCACAGGCAATAATGTGCAGAGCAAACAGATCAGATCATTTTATCACTGAAAGATAAAAATAATCAATGCATATACATATGGGAACCCTCTACTAGTAGGTAAAGAATCTCAAGTTAAAAGCCTATTTTATCTTTCAGTCTAACTCTAAAAGTTATGCATAAACTGTTAAACACTATCTTAAGCAGTATATAATGTTGTTGTTAAGTGCTGTCAAATCAATTCCAACCCATAGCAACCCTCTCTCTATAGGGTGTCCAAGGAGTAGCTAGCTGGTAAGCTTGAATCATCAACCTTGCAGTTCAAACGACTTCATAGTCTGATGCATTATCTCACTGCACCACACCAGGACTCCAGTATATAATGTATATTACATTAATCAGTTAAAATTAAGTAGAAAAAAAATTATAATCCCATTGCTAATGATTAAAAAAAAAAAAAAAAAGGAATAAACTGAAAGAGAAACATCCATAGAATTTGTTGTTGTTAGGTGGCATAGAATTGGTTCCGAATCACAGTGACTCTTCTATACAACAGAACGAAACATTGCCTAGTCCTAAACCAGCCTCACAATTGTTATTTTGAGCTCATTGTTGCTGCCACTATTTCAACCCATCTCATTGAGGAGTGTCTGCTTTTTCACTGACCCTCTACTATGCCCTTCTTCAGGGACAGTCCTTCCTCATAACATGCCCAAAGTATGGGAGATGAAGCCTTGCCACCCTCACTTCTAAGAACATTCTGACTGCACTTCTTCCAAGACATATTTGTTTCATCTTCTGGTTGTCCATGGTTCTTTAAATATTTTTCACTAACACCATAATTATAAAACTTTACTCGCATGGGATATCAAAGATATTGTCTGATGATTTTCGCATTCCGTTGGGTGACCTCTCTTTGGATTGGACACAAATACAGATCTCATCCAATCAGTTGGCCAGATAGTTCTCTTTCAAATTTCTTGGCATAGATGAGTGCCTCCAGTGCTGCCTCACTTTCTTGAAAGATTTCAGTTTTTATTCCATGGATTCCTGCAGCCTTATTCTTTGCAAATTCCTTCAATGCACATTGGATTTCCTCCTTCAGTATCACTGGCTTTTGATCATATGCTACCTCTTGAAATGGTTCAACATTAACCATTTCCTTTCGGTACAGTGACTCTTGTGTATTCCTTCCATCTTCTCTTGATGCTTTCAGCATCATTCAATAATTTGCCCAGAGAATCATTCAACAATGAAAGTCGAGGCTTGAATTTTTTTCTTCAGTTCCCCCAGCTTGAGAAATGCTGAGTGTGTTCTTCATTTTTGGTTTTCTAACTCCAGATCTTTGCACATTTTGTTGTAATATTTGACCTTGTCTTCTCGAGCTGACCATTGAAATTTTCTGCTCAGCTCTTGGACCTCCTCATTTCTTCCATTTGCTTTAGCATCTCTATGCTGGAGAGCAATTTTCAGTGCCTTTTCTTACATCATTTTGATCTTTTCTTTCTTTCTTGTCTTCTTAATGATTTTTAGCTTTCTTCATGTATGATGTTCTTGATGTCATTCCACAACTCTTCTGGTCTTTGGTCTTTAGTGCTTAATGTATCAAATCTGTTCTCGAGATGATCTCTAAATTCAGGTGGGATATATTCATGGTCATATTTTGGCTCTTGTGGACTTCATTTTTTTTCTTCAGGTTCAGTTTGAATTTGCATATGAGCAATTTATGGTCTGTTCTACAATCTGCCCCTAGCCTTGTTTTGACTGATGGATACTGAGTTTTTCCACCGTCTCTTTCCACATATGTAGTCAATTTGATTTCTGTGTATTCCATCTGGTGAGGTCCATGTGTATAATCATCTCTTATGCTGTCTAAAGAAGGTATTTGAAATGAACAAATTATTGATTTTGCAGAATTCTATCATGCG